TTATGAGACTTTGTATAATAGACTGAAACTGTGTTTGGATAATGGAGATGGACATTAGATTTACATATTAGGTTGATCAGTGTTATCGTAAACCTTGACAGACTTATATAGATTAGGGCCAAATTCAGAGGTGAAAATGCAGATAGCGTATAAATGAAGCCCACACATGTAATTTAGTTATTTTCAAGTGGGTACCTGGGATTTAATTACTCAGTGTGTGCAAAAGGAGGATCCATTCTGCTCCCTACTCACATGAGTTCTGTTGGGGTCACTGGGATTCTACATGTAAATTCTGCAGAACTGGGTCCTTAGTATAAATCCCAGGCACAGCGAGAGCTAAATTGTGGCATTGTATGTGGTGTAAGTTAGGGCAGAATTTGGCCGTGGAAGGGGCCAGATCAATGTGACTGATAGGGTAGGCGTGTTGCACAATTTAGAGAAGTTGTCAATAGGAAAGTTGCTCAGGAGGAAAGTGAGGCCCAATGCTGCACGTTCTTCTGAGAAAAACTGAGGGCTTTCAACTCCTATTGACTTCAGTGGAGGTTAAGGATGATTAGCAACTTGCTGGAGGCAACCAGCACTTGTGACAGGCAGGTAACTAAGCACAGAGGAATCAAGGCAGAAAGAAAAAGCAACTTTTGCCACTTTGTGGAATAGAACACAATGAGACTCTGAAGAGGGTTGCACACTTAGTCCACAATTGCCATAGGATTCCATATGGGAGAGAATATTCATTCTCAGGAACGTGACAAATGTCCTCTACTGTGGTGTAGGTGTAAATTAAAGTAGGAGGAAGGGTGCTTTATTTTAACCCTTCTGTTAGTCACTTAAGGCTGTCTGGATCACTGACATACCCTTGAGATCTACTGTGTTAAGGTAAAATATGACTGTGCCAGTGAAGAGTACAGGGATGAGAGGAGAAGGTGACATTTCCCCCCATCCAAACTGGAGTAAGCATGTAAAACTGCGGCTCCTCTTCTCTCACCCCAATACCTTGACTCCTCCATAAGAGGTAGTCATAAGTAGTTGTCTCAGCTCTTCTTAGCTAGTAGCACTGGGAGTTGGGGCCAAAGGATAAGGATCTGCCTAAATGTGGATTTTGGGCTCCACCTCCATCCCAGCCCTCTGCAGTAGAGTTAGTATGGAGATTCTTTTTGCAGTGCACAATTCCTTGTAATTCCTGAGCCTAAGTGGTTCAGGGGACTTTGCATGGATCCTCCACACTAAGGGTGAACTACACTGTGCCATGTGCTGAACTGAATGTTAGCAAAAATAAACCAGAGTGCATTGTGCCTGTAGTCACCACCCCATAGTCACAAACATGTGAAAGAAGTTAGCACTTAGAGATATTTCTCTAACTGGAAACACTAGATAATGTGTGTCCTATTCAGTAGAAATTAAAAAATATATATTTAAACCTCAAAAAGGAAGCAGGCATCCAATCCTGAGAAGCACTGAATAGCTACATCTCCTGGGAAGTCCTAGGGACCAAACAGATGCTGAGCACCTGTAACTTCCTATCTTTGTAATCTTTCATGATAATAAAATAAGCTTAAAATATAAGAGAGAATTCTTGGGCTTAGAAGGATATTTTTCAGCTTTTGGACATTTTATTTCTGGATATCTCTGGATAAATTCTTCTGTGAAGCATTGCTTGTATCATCAGAGTATTGTGGAGATAAAGGGTAAGAAATATGTAATAACATTTAACTTTCTGATTTTTGCAGCCTCTACATCTGCAGATATTGTCCTTTTGGTTGACAGCTCTAATAGCCTGGGAAACAAGGCGTTCCCCTCTATGAAGTCTTTTATTAGCAAAATGATCAGTCATTTAACAGCGACTCCTAACCAATACCGTATCGCACTTGCCCAGTACAGTGATGATTTGCACGTTGAATTTCAGCTGGACGTCTATAAAGCAAAGAACCCAATGCTGAATTATGTAAAAAAAAATGTTGTATTCAAGGGTGGTTCAGTAAAAACTGGCAATGCCCTTCGAAAAGTTCACAGGACCTTTTTCAAAGGACCAGTTAGTGGAAGAGACAAAGAACGAATTCTGGTAGTCTTGACTTCAGGGGCATCAGAGGATGCTGTAGTAGAGCCTGCCACGATCTTGAAAAGTGATGGGGTAAAAATCATAGCCATGGGGACTCAGGATGTTTCTCCTCAAGAATTGCAGTCAATGGCTACATCTCAATTTTCTTATAAGTTTCGCACAGTGAGGGATCTCAGTATGTCTTCTCCAAACCTGACCAAGATCATCGAGGATGTTATTCAAACAGATATTAATGGCATAATACCAACAGATATAACAGTTCCTGAGAGAGACGGTAAGGAATTCAAGGCTATGAAAAAATTGTGATCATATTGGTTGGAAGAAGTAATTCAGTGTTAGAAAGAAAGACACCTTGAACATTTTGGGCTAAATTTTCAAAATATTAAATGACATGCATATTTTAAAACAATGAAGAGAACAGACATGTCCGTGACCAGGTACCTGTGTATACAGAGAGGCATGTAATCCTGACTTTTTGAAAACCAGTGCCTATCTGATCATGACTTTATGCATGACTAACTCCGGACTCCACAAAAGTGAATGGAGAGTGGGTGGAGTGAAGCTGTAACTATTCTTGCAGATTTGGTAATTTTCAAGAGAAAATAGCTCTTGTTGTTGGTTTATGCCCTGAACAACTAATTAATGGGCATTTTCCTTTGGGCTTCCTCTGATGTGGGTGGTATTGACCACTGCTGGAGACAGGATGCTGGAGTTAGGTAGGCTGCTAATTTGATTCAGTATGGCAATTTCTGTGTTTCTAGATAAATCTGAATGAGGGAAACTATTTTAGAAGAGTGTTCCATGGATTGGCCAAGAAATAGACAATTAATATTGTGTTCTTTTCCTCTCTCTCTTCCCTCTGCAGTTTGTAAGAGTGATTCCGTTGCTGATATTGTGTTCATAGTAGATGAGGGTGTTTCAAAACCAAAAGCTGAAGATATTAAAAAGTTCCTGCAAGATACAGTCTCCTTTCTTGATGTGAGGAAGGATTGTACAAAGATTGGCCTAGTGACATACAGCAGTGAGTCACATGTGTTATCTTTATTAAGCGAAGAAACAAACAAAACTGCTATTCTGCAGAAAATACAGGACTTTTCTCCAAGGGAAGGGAAGGCCAACACCGGTGCTGCCATTAATGCTACAAGGCAAAGAGTCTTCTCTGGAAGCAGAAGGGCCCAAGGGATAGAGCAAATAGCCATTCTGATCACCCACAGACCCTCTGAAGATAACGTAAGAAAGGCAGCTCGTGGTCTTCGGAGAGCTGGCGTGACAGTATTCACCATAGGCACTGAAAATGCTGATTACACCCAGTTAACCCAGATAGCATCATATCCTCAACAGCAATATGTTACTAAGCTGACGGCATTTTCTGACCTGCCAAAAAAAGCCAGAACTTTACAAAAGAAACTCTTGAATCAAATTCAGGACAAGCTGTATGTCCAGTCTGAAAGAAAAGAACTACTTAAAGCAGGTAAACCTTTCCCAGTAATCATATCTCTATCTTTTCTCTAGGTGGAAGATTTTTAAGTAGAGATGGTCCTGAACCAAAACCTGGATCCAACCCCCCATGAACTTTTGATCTAGTTCCAAACTTTAGCCTTTGAGGAAGTGCAGTTCCGAAGCTGAATCTGGATCCAAACTGTAGCTCGGACCCATCGTTTTAACATATTGACTGGTTCATATTATTTTATTGAATTCATGCAAAGATCCTGCATCACGGTCTCCTAGTGGAGCAATTGATGTCTTTATGGAGTCCTCTTGGTGTCAGTGGGACTCTGCATAGGTGTAAAGGAGGGTCCATGATAACAGAGCCCCGTATAGGATTGGGGCCTAAGTTATTTTCATTGGGTTAGCAAGGCAGGCTTTTTTTTCTTTTTCTTCTCTCCCCCCCACTCCCCTTAGTCCAAGCAAGCACATCCTGGACAAGCAAGTTTTTACAGCTCCAACCCCACAGAGTTTTGTCATCATACTGGTTGAAAAGCAGAGGCTGTGTACCTGGGGGTTCCCTTCATCCCCTCCCCACCCATGAAGAAAACTACAGATGCCCCTGAATGGGGTTAGAGAGCTCACCTGGATAAACATGTGGCTCCAGGCTCTTGTACCCAGGAAGAATCCAAGCTAAACATCAACCTCCTGACACTGTGGGCAGCGCCTGAGGCTTAAAAAAGATTCCTGCCGCTCATCTGTACCCTGCATTGTCAAGTCACATCTAACATGGCTACAGTACACTATATATAAAAAAACAGGAATAGGGAGGTCCACCTTCCTTTGCACAGAAGCAGTCGGTCTCTGCAGTTGTTGACCAGAAGAGTAGGTGAGCTTAGGGCCCTTAAGGTGGACCCTCCTACACAGTCTTCCAAAAGGATAAGGTTTCTTTGAGGTTACACCCCGTATTCATTCCAAATGTTCTCTCTGAATATCATTTAAATCAGATCATATACCTAGCTATCTTCCACCCAAAACACTATGCCACCAAAAAAGACAGGGAGCACCATTCTCTGGATGTTATTGAGCCTGAGCATTCTACCTGCAGATGACAGAACTCTTCAGGGAATCTCCTAATCTATTTTTCTCCTTTGCTTCCCCTTTCACACATTTGAGATTTTCTAAATGGATTTCAAGTTGCATCAAGCTGTGAGTTGACGGTGACCCCTCCCACACAAGGTGTTCAGGTTACATCAGTGGCTTTGCTTCATGGAGTTCCCCTTCTGGAGATCTGTAGAGTGGCAACATGGAGCTCTGTGCAGTTTTACTAGGCATTATGCCCTAGAATGAGTTTCTTCAGCAGATGTATCCTTTCAGATTGCAGGATCACACTGCCAAACACCTCAGGGTTCCCTGCACCCTCCTCATTGACTACTGCTTGTGAGCCACCTTGCATGGAACACACCAAGGGACCGTCATTTGAAGAAATTCTGGTTACTTACCTTACAGTAACTGGTGTTCTTCAAGATGTGTGGTCCCGATCTGTATTCCACTTCCCACCCTCCTTCCACTCTCCTTGTGATCCCTTCCTTGGGTTATTCATGGTAGAAAAGGAACAGAAGAGGTGGTCAGTCCATGTGGTCCCTTATGCCCTCGACTTGGAACACAAGGAGGTAATGGGCAGAGATTCAGACCAAGAGACACTGCTGTTGAAAAATCTTCTGGTCTTAGGCACATGGAGTGCATGTGCACCTTGAGTGGCATACAGATAGGGATCACATAACCTGAACTCCAGTTATCATAAGATAAATAACCAGCAATTCTCAGACATTGTTACTTTACATTGAGGTTACAGCCAATTTGCACCATGATAACCTCACTCTCTGGCAGATTTTCGGCCGCTGTGGAACTCCACCTGGGTTTGTGTCATTGTATAAATACTGGTTGACTCTGGGCACTAATTACAAGTCTATATGCTTTGATGCTTCTCTCAGTGTTTCTCGCTTTACATTTTCTTCTCACACTAATGCTGTATACAATTTATTTTTCCATGTAGGATGTGTGGACACAGAGGAAGCTGATATTTATGTCCTCATTGATGGCTCAACAAGCATTGATGCTGCTTCCTTCGGAGACATCAAAAATTTTTTGAAGGAAGTGATTAAGATGTTTAACATAGGACCAAATAAAGTTCGCTTTGGAGCTGTGCAGTTCTCAAATGAGACAAGACTGGAGTTTGAAATTGATGAATACAGCAAAACAAATGATTTAGAGATGGCCTTTGACAACATTAGGCAAATATACGGGGATACCTATATTGGAAAAGCATTGACTTTCATGCAGCCACTGTTTAAAAAGGCAAGGGAACAGAGAGCTGGCAGGGTGCCTTGTTACCTCATTGTCCTAACAGATGGGGTGTCACATGACAGTGTGAAGGAGCCTGCTGAGAGACTGAGGAATGAGAAGGTTAATATTTATGCCATTGGTGTAAAAGGTGCAAATGAAGCACAGCTCCATGAGATTGCAGGGTCAAAGAGCAGGACTTTCTTTGTGCAAGAGTTTGACTTCTTGAAAAACATAAAAAATGAAATTGTTCAAAAGATCTGTTCTGGAGAAGGTAAGGGAAAATTTTGATTTTTGCCCTTTGAACTCAGAGCGCTAATTGAATGCGGAGCGTCCTCTTGTATAACAAACAATTTTAAGTTTAAAACATGATAATCCTATTACTCCAGCCTGAATAACTGAAATGTATAAATATACTCTGGGCACATTTTGAACTGAGATGGCTGACTGCAAGCCAATTATAAATAATGCAGTTTTCTTTCTTTTTAAAAAAAATCTATGATGTGTATGTTCAACATATGCTTTAAAAAAGCAAGGGTATTTTTATTTGGTTTTAGTCAATGCATCAAAGCACTCCTTTTCCTGCCTCCTTTCCCCCTCCCCCCCCAGCTCTGCAACAAACAAGGTGGCTTCTCAACTGAAGAGGGTAGTCCTACATCAAGTAGTGTGTTTTCCAACTTATCATGTTGTGTTGCTATTGTCCCAGTGTAAATACCTGTGTCATGAATTGTTCAGGTGCCCACAGAGCACTAACCCTACCATCAGGCTGCAGTCAGGCAGGGTGGCATTTAAGATCATTGTCTTTGTAAGACTGTGATGCTCAGTAGCCTTCAAACCCCTCCCCCCCCACACACGCAAAGAATAAAAGGAAAACAAATGCAAGCTACATTCTCTAGCAGTGAGCTATGTCAAGTTGGTGTTTGTGATTAACAGGTACATTATTAGAATGCTAGTGTCATATGCTTATACACCGCTGTAAACCTCTGAATCTTTTGTGCCTGTATTGATTTATGGGACACTGAATCTTTTTCTGTTCAGAAATGGAAGTGGCTCAGATAACCCACCACAAGCTATATCTCTCCTGTGTGTGTAAATGCATGTGCCTAGCAAACCTCTCCTTAGTAACCCTACTAAACTTATAACAGTGCTGTCCAGTGTCAAGCAACTCATGTGACACTCACACAAGCAGCTGCCCTGTCATACCTGTGCTCAGCCCATCCGGATCCTCATGCACCCGGTTAGGCTGCAGGGACAGCTCTGCAGTTGATTCTCCTGGAAGCTGCTGTGACACTCGGGTGACCTCTCTGCCTCACTTCTAGCTGCTCCCTAGTAGATTCTAATGCATAGCAGCAACCGGAGGAGGGGGCAGTAGCAGCATGTGAGGGAGGGCCCAATATTGGCCCCAGGCTCCCTGACCCAGCTATTCTCCAGACAGCACCCCGCATCCATCCACCTACCTCACTATTCCCACACTTACCCAGCACAGCCAGAAATCTTAGCACCCACCCTCTATCCCAGACCATCCTGCCCCAGTTAAGTCTATTAACTTATTTTTAATGTACAGGGCTATACTAATATAAATCTGTTTTCTTCTATAGCCTGCAAAGAAATGACAGCTGACATCATGTTTCTAGTGGACAGTTCTGGAAGCATAGGACCAGATAACTTTTTGAAAATGAAAAACTTTATGAGAGAACTGGTGAACAAATCTGACATCAGTGCAAACCGAGTGCAGGTTGGGGTTGTCCAGTTCAGTGGCAAACAACACGAAGAGTTCCAGCTTGACCGATACTCTTCAAAAAGTGACATTTTCAGTGCTATTGATAATATGTTTCTTATAGGGGAAAATACACTAACAGGAAGCGCATTGACATTTGTGTCTGATTATTTCAAGCCTCCCAAAGGTGCACGTCCGGCTGTCAAAAAGTTTCTTATCCTGATTACAGATGGGGAAGCACAGGATGAAGTAAAAAGTCCAGCAACAGCCTTACGTGATCAAGGTGTTATTATCTACTCTGTTGGGGTGTTTAATGCAAATAAACCTCAGCTGGAAGAGATTAGTGGGAAGCCTGAGCTGGTTTTTTACGTCGAGGAGTTTGATATTCTGAAGCACATAGAAGATGAGATCATCTTTGGAATATGCAGGCCTCATGAGGGTAAGTAAGTACTGCAGTTTTCAATAACTCATGTCAATCTGTGACTGTGTAGGAATTTTGCTCTGTCCAGATAGTTGAGTATTGTAATAAAGTAAATAAACAGGCATGCTTTCTCCTTGCAATGCCATCTTCTCCAGGAAATGCCTACAGGGATGAAAAGTGTGTGAGAAAATGAAGGTAGAATTTGGCTCACGGTACCAGGGGCCTGTCCTACTAGCTTTCAAAGATGCTATATTCTCTCAAACAAATAATATAAATTTCATAATATTTTAAAAGTACAATATGTATGCTAATGTGTGTAAGAAAAGACTAAATCTCACTTCTTCTAAGGCTCCACTGTGGTGCTCTGGCAGTGTAAAACATCCTTGGGGACTGATTCTTGTTTACACTAATGGCCTCGTTCTGCCCTCATTTACAAGGGGTCATAGAAATTGTACACATGTAAATGCAGGCAGAAATGGGCTCTATAGGTTGTATTTACCCGATAGACTTTAGTAGTAGTTATTTACACAGGAACCCTGAATGACCTAGATAGATAGGTACACACACACACACATGCGCGCACAGAGTCTGGCCCCTATCTGTGTTGCCAGCAATACAGCACCGGAAACTAGTTTTGTTGGAACCGTATTTACAAGTTTCAATTTGGGTTCCAGATGTGGTTCAAATCCAATGTAGCCAAGGCTTTTTAAGAAAATGTATGGACAGAAGCATTTAAATAGGTGCAAAAGAGGCATAAAATTGTGTACAGATGAAGATGGTAGTCACCATATTTGGGGGGCCCAGTCCAGGAACTAAGGCCTCTCCACCTTCCACTCCAAGTGCAAGGTGTTTTCCTTTGACCTTGCCTGATCTACATAAATATATGGGGAGTGGGGTGACATTCAAAACAACTCACTACACACACTTTTGCCCCTGGGGAGAAGATGAGAGAAAAAACACACACTGCTTAATACATGGCTGGATGGCACACAGGTATATTAAGGTGATGATTTCAGTATAAGAACCTATGTAGAATAACCATCTGTGCAAACACTTCCCTGCAGAGACTGCTATCCAAACATTGCACAGCTTGCTGTTGCATAAGAACCTGAAAAATGGAATAGCCCAGGGCCAGGTTATACCTGGCTCCATACATGGTTGCGCAATAAGGCTGGGGAGAGCACAAGGAGTCTCCTTCCTCTTTGCACACTGCATGTGCCATTTCACGGGCTTACGGGACTGAGATCTGTGTCTCTCTTGCACTCATTTATCCAATTGCAGAAAACACATTTTTGCTGTTGCAAAGTGAGAACAGATCAAACCTGCCACTGTGTTATGCCCTAAAAGGTAAATATTTTGTTCCATGTTTAGGAGCTACAATGTCCTCCTTGCTAAACTGTTAATCCGGTATTGACTTCCCATCTCCTCATCATAAATGCTGATCTTTAGTTTAGGAAGAGTTTTAATGGGTTTCACAAAAGTCCTGTTCAGCCCTTTTTGGTCACTGCAACAGAGGGCCTTGGGGGCTGTGCAGGGATGGCAGGGCTTCAGTCTCCAAATGGAACATTTTTCTTACACACAGAAAAAAAATGCAATAGATCCAAAGCACAAAACAAATTCTGCTGTCATTGATGCCTGGTGGGTCTCCGTGCATTTCAGTGTGGTTGTATAGATGCAAATGGTAACAGAATTTGACTCATTTCCATTAGTAAACAGTAAATAAAACTGTGTACGGTGACGCTGTAGTAGAACAAGGGTCACGGAAATTTGACATAACTCCAAAAATGAAAATACAAGCTTTTAATTGGTGCTTGTATTCTAATAGAATACAGATTCATAGAATTTTAAGGCCTGAAGAGGCCATTCTGATCATCTAGTCTGATCCCATTCTGTTGTGTTACTATTCATTTCTTCACCCCCACCCTCCCATCCCTCTGGATTTTGGATTAAGTTGAAGCTCTGTTATTTTAGGATTAGTGGTTAGGCTCTTCTGTTGTGCACTGATGGATTTTCCCAAAACATGCCTAACATAGGCTGTTCAGTTGTGTTACTGCCTCCAAAAAGTGATCTGAATTCACAAGCTTTGCTTGAATACAAGGGGGCTAGTAAGAAAGATTCAGTAAGAGTCTGTACTTACTTACCTGTTTGGGTTTTTTGTTTTGTCATTTTGTTCTTTTACAGAATGCAAGAGGATAGAAAGATTAGATGTTGTGTTTGTTATAGATGGATCTGGGAGCATAAGTCGTGAAGAATACCAGACCATGCAAGACTTCATGATTGACTTAGTGAAAAAATCTGATGTCGCTCCAGATAGAGTTCAGTTTGGAGCTGTAAAATATTCTAAAGAACCGGAAACGTTTTTCTACCTTAACCAGTACCCAACAAAATCCAAGATTGTTGAGGCTATCCAGAATGATAGCACTATAGGATATTCAACGTACACAGCCAAGGCAGTTGGCTATTCGGAAGCTCTGTTTGCTCAGGAGCATGGCGGCCGCAAAAGCAAGGGAGTTCCACAGATTCTTATAGTGATAACAGACGGTGACTCCCGTGATGCAGAACAGCTCAATGACACAGCCAAGAGATTAAGAGACAAGGGAATTATTATCTATGCTGTTGGGATAAAAGGAGCAAAACCTGATGAGCTTTTGGCCATGGCTGGATCAGAAGACAAATATTACTATGTGGATACATTTGAAGGACTCAAAAACACATCTGTAGCAATATCAGAAAAAATATGTGATGATTCAAAACCAGGTAAGTGTTTGTTTTACTAGTCTATACCATTTAAAGTTTCCTCATCATTTTATTTAAAAAATTGGCAAAGATGGGGAGACACATCTCTAAAATTTCAAAGCAACGTGTATGGCTTCATTTGTATATCTAGCTTCCTGTGTTGTTGTTTTGTTTTGTTTTTCTCTTTAGCAAGCCAAACTATAGGCAAAAAGTGAAGTTGCTTAAAGCTTATCCTTGATCCTACAACTGAGGATTTTCATTGCTTAAATGGTTGATATTATTGTTAGTCTGTGCAGGTTCAAAACTTCCATAAAGGTGAAATTAGGGCACTAACCTTTCACTTTAAGAGGCCTGAGTTCAGGTTTCACTTTGATTAGACTAGTTGTTGTGGGGATAGGCATTTATCTACATTACAAAAGCACCACATGATTTGGCCTGGTTGATGAGCTCTGCTGAGGAAATAGGTGAGAACAGGCAGCTGGGGACTATTGCAAGTGCCAATCAAAATGCAGTGGCAATTATGAGGAAACTTACACCATGCAAACTGCACGGTGGCATCCTGTAGTCCAGTGGTGGGCAACCTGCAGCCTCTCAGGGTAATCTGCTGGCAGGCCGCGAGACTGTGTGTTTACACTGATCGTCCACAGGGACAGCTGCCCGCAGCTCCCAGTGGCTGCAGTTCACCATTCCCGCCAATGGCAGATGCAGGACGCGGAGGCCAACACATCCCTGTGGCCCGTGGCTTTCTGCAGCTCCCATTGTTCGGGAACAGCCAACCACAGCCACTGGGAGCTGCAGACGGTCGATGTAAACAAACTGTCTCGCGGCCCACCAGCGGATTACCCTAACAGGCCACAGGTTGCCCACCAGTGCTCTAGTCCCATACAGCTACACATAGGTTTACACTTCCAAACCCCTGTGCTGTATAAAAAGACACATTTGAATGACCAACCAGTCAGATTCATCCTCATTTGCCTGTCCATGCTCCTGTCTATTTGCCCACAGGCCATAGGAGGGATCACAGAGATCTTTGCACCCCAGAGTAGTCACTTGCATCTAGGCAAAGAGACTGTAAAATGATACTCCTACTAGTGAGGAAATCCAGTTTGGTAGGGTTTTATGCCCACTTTATGCTTGTGTACTGCAGCGTGTAATGTGGAAGACAGTGGAGAATCAGGCCGCACAATTTCTATTTTTCCTTATGCCCTTCTCTGTCCCTTGTTAAAAATCAGTACTTTAGGTGCACTTTCTAGGTTGCTGGTCTGTGCAGCTAGTTGAATGAATTGTTGCAAATAAATTGTCAAATTTGGTCCTTTTTAGTGTTTGAAACTGTTTGCAAATAAATCCAGATTTCTAGCATATAATCCTAAATGTTCACTGAATAGCCTCTGGCACTGGAACAGGGTGGTTGGCTTCATGTGCTGGATAGCCTGGGGCTAAGCCAGCCCTGATTGCACGATGAACCACACCTGGGTTGAATCAGGAGCTGGCAGGATAAAAAGAGCAGGAAGGTTCAGGAGGGTGGGAGAGAAAGTTGCAAATAGTTTTATAGATTACAGGAGCCCTTTTCTGCCATCTGTGTAAAGGCCCTCAGTCAACAGGGAAAAAAGCTGAAGTTGGAGGAAAGTCTCTAGGCAGTGAGGTCTGGGAGAGACCCTGAACAAGAAGGAAAGAGACTGTAAAGGCCAGCTGGGATGAAGACTGTGAGTTTGTGTTTTGTGTGTTAATCTGGAGAGGGACCTTGAACTGCCTGGGGCCTACAGGGCCAGTATGTGTCAGAGGACTCAATCCCCCCAAGACATCCTGTTTATTATTGGAACCCCTTCTGAACTATGAGTTCTAAAGGGCCCTGAAAGGGGGATAACAGAGCCAGGGTGCTGCAGAATGATCTCTGGCTGCAAGGGGGTTGCCTGGGGGGGCAGTAAGAAGCCCCTGTGCTACAGTGACCCTATGGACTTTTTGCTAACTGGTCACTTCTTTTCTATTCATTATTTGCACTGTTAGTTGGCCAATGTAAATCACATGATGTTTCTGCTCCCCAATTGGATGAGTGTTAACTTTTTTTTTTTTGTTTAACAGGTGAATAAAGAATAACAAGTAACAATGTATTTCTGGTATAAATTTGCTGATGAGCATTCAAATTAAAATTTGTGGCACTCCTGTGACTCCCTCAGTTTTCTCACTTGTCCGGAAGCTGTCGGAATACTTGAAAACCATGAATAACATGATTCCATGGATGCCATCAATGTGAATGTATTTATTCACAAGAATACTTACAAATTGCTGTTTGTATTGACCAGTTCCCTGGGTCAGAGTGGACTGTAATCAACCTCCCCTCCTGGGGCTACTGGAGTGCTATTGTCCACCAAACTTTATTGGGGGGGCTTCCATGCTAGCATCCAGTTGTTGCACAGACTGCTTTCCCTGTTGTGAGAATTAGGCTGCCCCACATGCCCTGTTTTTATGTATGCTGAATACAGGGGAGCTTGGAGGTGGTTCCAGAAGCAGAAACCATCCAAAGTATTGGGAAAGGGACAGGCATATAGGCAATGTCCTTTGCCTGAATCTCTGCTCTTCCCCACAGGTTCTGTGTGAGCCTGTAATAGCCCACTGTTGCTCCAGTCTCAAAAACCTCACCCCATGGAGCTCTGCTCCCACAGTGAGGAACAGAAATCCCCATCCCATGCCGGATCCAACCAGGAGATGCCTGGGAACATGAGCTCATAGCCACATCTCCCTGACCACTTAGAAAAACAGCAGGAGGCACTTTGGAGTGTTCTTAAAGTCTCTGGAGCTGGAGCTTTTCTCCTTCCTCCAGCAGCAGAGCAGGGAAGAGGTGGGAAGTGCCTTCACTCACCCACAGTCGGTGTCCTCATGTTATCAGAAGTTTTGTCCTCTAAAATACAAACTCTGATCTGCCTTTACATTTACTGATTGCCCAACTGATTTGCTCTTTGTCCTAATCTCCTTCCATCTCTCTTCAACTACCACACTCATCCTGCTGTAGGATGTCAGCCTGCCTCCATCCCCCTTTCCTTCTTTTTCCTTCTGAGCTTTCCTCTTCCCCTCCCCATCTTTCCCTCTCCAAACTCCCTCATGCTCATTCTCTCCCCAAAGTTATCTTAAAAAACCCCAAATAGGATTGTGAGTATTTACATGTAATAAAAATGTACATGACGTGAATCAACAGGATATGTGCAGAACCACCAAAGCAATCAGAGTCTTGTACTTGTAAGCTTTGTTCTGCTTTCACCTTCCTCACTTCCTTTGTATTTTTCTGCACTTGTTTTGTCCTGTCTCTGTTTAGACTGAAAACTTTGAGGGCAAGGATCCTGGCTTTTATTTGTCTGTGAAGAGCCCAGCACATTATGAGCACTATATAAATAATAAGCTAATTTTCCTTTTTTCCATTTCAGAGTGTGAAATTCAAGTAGATCTTGTTTTCTTGATTGATGGTTCCAATACTATATACCAAGATGACTTCACCACAATGAAGAATTTCTTGAAAGATATAATAGATCAGATTGATTATGATGACAATGTTCAAATTGGCATTGCCCAGTACAGTGACAGGTATAAAAGAGAATTCAGCCTGGGTGCTTATCAGAACAAGTCAGAACTGAAGAGTCAAATTCAGAACATTAAGCAGATGACAGGAACTAGTACTTTAATTGGAGCTGCACTTAGGAAGGTGAAGGAATTCTTTGCACCAGCACGCAGCAGAAGAGTAACAAGAAACGTCCAACCAGTTTTGCTGGTAGTCACTGATGGGGACTCGCATGATGATGTTGCTGAACCAGCAGAAGATCTGAGAAGGGAAGGTGTTCATATATATGCTATAGGAGTTGGGAAAATTGATCACTTGCAGCTCACGCAAATAGCTGGCGTCCCGGAAAGGAAGTACACTGTTAATGATTTCAATGAACTGAAGATTATTAAAAAAAGACTAGTTGGTGACCTATGCAAACGTGATGTTCCTACAAGTAAGTATAAATGGATATTTATTGAACCCCCTTCACATTTCAGTCCTGACTTCTTGCCTCTGTCCCACCTCTAGAGGTATCTTTCTTCAAATGTGTATTGTTGTTGACCATCACTGAGGACTAATAAAAGTCACTTGAAAATTCAAACCTGGCAGCATTTATAAATTACTCTGGTCAAAATTACTGATTGGAACATGCAGGAAAAATGCTTTGTTTACATAAATGGCTGCACCTGTTTTGCTCCTACTTTCAAAATAAACTAGGGGGTCGCACACTTTGTTGCTTCCGTAGGTTAAGCTCATTGCACGCACCGGGGGCTCCTTGCATTCATCTGTTCCTTCCCACAAACTGTGTGTGCTGCACTAGGGTTACTATCTGTCTGGGTTTCCCCGGACATGTCTGGCTTTTTTAGCTTTAAATGGCCGTCCGGGGGGGGATTTCTAATGTCTGGGATTTCCCCCTTCCCCTCATGCAGAGTACCGCGCTGCTGATTGGATGGCTGTGCCTGATTGAAAGCCGTTCGCAGCCACTGAGGCCTGTAGCAGCCAGAGTCCCTCCCCCTCCCCCGCTCCCTCCTCCCCCGCAGAGCAGCGCCTTATTTGTTTGGCTGCACGTGGAGCCTGCAGCTCTCCCTCAGCCTCGTGGGGGGGCAGGCAAGGGACAGGGAACAGGGG